GGAGGGTTTTAGGAAGCTAGAGCTGGGCTTTAACCCCTTGCCCCTGACGTCTCCCAGCCTTTTAAAATGATCTAAATGCAAGAAGGCAGAGGCGGGTAATCTGGTTATGTGACAGCTGTGATTGGCAGTCACATGATCAAAAAGCTCCCGATTGCAATTAAGCATGGGTAGCTTTCCAGTACCCATTTGGGAGCGTACTCTCAGCACAGTAAAGGGTTTATCTAGGGCCACACATACTCGGCAGCTTGGCGTAAAGCCCACCTACCCAAAAGCCAGATATGTGCCAAGTTGGTGGGAAGTGGTCAACCTCTGCAAACAGATGAAAAGGTTCTTTACTGTAAGTGCTGAAAATATGGAATCAGACTTTCAAGATAACCCAGTAATGTGTTTAAAATGTACAAAATATAAACTACTATATATGAGAAAGAACTTTTAGAATGTTGTTCCATAGAGTTAAGTAAATGCCTTCAGGGATAAGTAAAGCAAATTCTGAGCAATTATAAAAGACTCAGAAATTTTAATATCTTCTGATAACTTTCAGCAACGAGAAATATTTGTAAATGTTCTGAATTTCTGTTTTAGAAAAGTACTGGGGATATGTTCAGTATGTGTATGTATATTAAAAGAAGAACACACAGGAAATTGTCTGCTACACAGACTGCACATTTGAAGTATTGAGATGCAGAAATTATCTCATTTAAGGCCCTGTTTCCACTTACACTAGTGAATGTTACCTGTGTCTGATGTCGTGCTGTAATCCACGACAATGGAAATGATATTTTCCATGGTGTCCCTTCACTTCAATGCAACATTAGGCAGTGTGTTTTTTTAAAGTGGTGCAGGAGCTTTTCTTTGCTGCAGTGCAATTTCGGCACATAGACTTCAATGGGAGTGCATGAAAAGCACATAAAAAAAAAGCAGGCACATGACGTTTGGTGCATTTTTGGTAGTGTTTTGTGTTTACTTGTCTATCTACTAAAATAAAGCATGACAGTGCCCGGGCGGCCGGCGTACATGCTCCGGCCGTAGCTCTGCACACCCCTGGCACCATACTTACCCACACAAGGGCACCGAGCCCCCTTTGATCCCGGGACCTGCTCCGGGTTGAGCCCGGACCCCTGGGGCATCATAATTATGCCACGATGGACAGAAGGAAGGCGCCGCGGCGGCTCTAAACACGGTGAGCAGGGGATCCAAGATGGCACCCACGGCCCCTGCTGCCTCCAAACGGCCAGCGCCTCTCCCTCATAGGACAAAGATGGGCCCTGTCTCCTCCATGGGTCCTGACCGGACAGCGGAGACCTCGTCCACTGGGGTGATTGACCCTCCACGGTCCCCCCAGTCACCTTCCAGCCCTACACTACCTGAGTCCTAGGCTTCGGCCTATTCACTAGGCCACGATTTTCCTGCCTCCTCATTGGATAAGGAGATGGCAGCCATTTTCTTCAGTCATAGCAGCGGCCTGGAAATGGACTCTGATAACCCTAATCATTCGCCAGCTCTTCCCCCGGAACCACCACAATATTCAGGAGACGCGACTTTGATCGCTCGGTTTGCTGATTTACTACAACGCAAATTAGATAGAGCTACTACTAAATTGGCGGCTGATCTTAAGCAGAATTTAGGCCAACGCCTGGACAGTATCGAATCTAAAGTTGATGCGACGGTCCACAGTGTATCCCAAAATTCTAATATGATTACTGACCTACAAGACCGGCTTGAAGAAGCTTATTCTAAAATTGATAATCTGGAAAAACCAGGCTAGGCACTACAATTTCCATATTCAAGGGCTCCCTGAGTCAGTTAAAGATCTCAGTAGCTGCGCCCAAGCCCTCATGCGATCTACAATGCCTGATATTGATGATCTCCACACGGAAATTGATCATATACATAGAGCGTCGATCCCCCAGACAGGGAGGGCCACCCAGGGATATCATTGTTAAGCCACATTTTTTCAAGGTCAAGGAAGCGATCATGAAGTATAGCAGGGAGACTCCGGAGCTGGAACTTGCGGGACATAAAATACAGATATTTGCAGATGTCTCTCCGACCCCTATCCAGAAGTGGCGGTCTCTAAAACCACTTCTTTCCCATCTGGTGCAGCGGGATATCTGTTATCGATGGACCTACTCCTTTTGCTTACAGTTCAACTTTAACGGCAAGCCTTACGGGTTCTCTACTTTTCAGGAAGGTGATGGACTCCTGCTTCAACTGGGCATTATTTCCTGTAGCCCCTCATCTCATTCCCCAGCGGGATCTGCTTCTCGGCCCTCGTCACTTTCCCCATTGTGGACTGCTCCAAATTCCAGGAAGATGAAATCACCGAAAAAGACATCTTGAGGCTTATGTTTCATTTGGTGGTCTCGTAAGGTTATTTTTTTTATATGTGGTGGCTTCTCAGGGGTTCCTTGGAAACATTAGTTGCCATTGTTCACATTTTTTTGCAGGGAGGGGGTGGTTGGCGTTATTTTTTTTTTTTATTCCCCTCATGTTATTCTGGAGGTTGTAATAAGGCCGTCTGCTGATTAGTAATATTATGGGGCTCGGTTATTTCTTTACTGCACTATGTTTATAATGGGTAACTGTTTTTGTTTGTGTCGGGGAGTGTCTATGGGCCCTCCTTGATTTGGAAGACTCTTCCCTGAGTTGTCTCTCTGGGTAGATCCATTCCTCTACAGGGCTTTAGTCCTGATATTGTTGGTATATTGTTTGATTCGACTTTATTATTATGTACCATACCTTTGATTACCGGACACAAGGACGTTTACATTCCGAATGTCCCTTTTTACTTCTTCTTTCCTTTGGGTCTTTTTTTTGCTATTTTCTTCTTCTTTGAGGGTCAGCCGTCTGCGTTCCTGGTTTTTCTGGACCATTCCTGTGCTCCGAGAGCGAATGGTTCCTATCATATACAGAGCATCGATTGTTCACCATGTCACCTCAACGGTCTAACAGCGGGGTCATCCGCTTATTATCCCACAATGTTCAGGGGTTTAAGTCTCCCACTAAGCGTATTAAGGCCTTTAATTTATACCGCTCTTTTGGGGCGGATATTGTAGCCCTACAGGAGACACATTTCCCCCCTTCTTTTGCATGATATGTTCACAAAGATTATCCCCTTTGTTACTTTGCTAATGCTACAGAAAAGAAGCGAGGGGTTGCCCTTTGCTTGTCCTGCCGTTTGTCGTTCACTGAATCTAAAATTATCCAGGATCGGGAAGGGCGCAACCTTTTGGTGAAAGGCCACTTGGCCAGACATTTACTTACTTTTTTGATTTATTATGCTCTGAATACCAATCAGGTGGAATTTTTCACTCTTAATTGAGTTCCTTGGCCTCGGAATTTGAGGGCGATGTTGTCTTGGCTGGTGATTCTAATCTAACATTGAATTAGATTTTGGATTGCTCCCAAACCGCCATGCTTCAGTCCCCTTCTAGACAGTCGCAAGTTTGATCAGCTACTATACCGTTATAACTTTATTGACACCTGGAGAGAAGCTAACCCAATGTCAGGAATGGACTGGCCAGCAATGGTGGGACTCAGCTGCCTTACGGGCTGCAGTACCAGGGCTGGCCAGCGGGTGCTCCCAGCAATCAGAGACTCAACCTTGCAGCCAGCCAAATACCTGAAACTGCTTATACTGATGTATTTAAGGGATGGCCAGACCTGCAGACTCTGCCTTGGTGTGTGTTTCTCCTGGGCCCTGTATCCTGTTCCTGCTCCCTGTTCCTGTCTGATTCGTTGCTGACCCTGCTCTGATCCCTGGCTTTGTCCGACCATTCTCCTGCTCCTGATTCCTGGCTTTGTCTGACCATTCTCCTGCTCCTGATCCCTGGCTTTGTCTGACCATTCTCCTGCTCCTGATCCCTGGCTTTGTCTGACCATTCTCCTGCTCCTGATCCCTGGCTTTGTCTGACCATTCTCCTGCTCCTGATCCCTGGCTTTGTCTGACCATTCTCCTGCTTAACCCCATACGTTCTGACCTCCTGTTGATAATCCCGGCCTGCCTGACGACGCTTGCATTGTATGTACTGTTATCTGTGGGTGGTTTGGTTAGGTTCGTTTGCACTGTGTTATGTTTTAGTATTGCACTGCGTTTATGTATTGTTAGTGTTAATAAATTATATTTATAACATATCTGAAGCCTGCGTTTCCCTGCGTCAGTCACATACCTCTGGTCACACCCTGGAGCCCTGACATTACACCAAGGCCAATCCTGACCAGAAGCGGCTGCACAGGGAAGCCATCTCGGTTTGTTGATGGGAAGGATGGATCTTGATGAGGTTGTGTATTTATATTTGCTAGTGTTTGATGACAGAGAGTATGCTTATCAAACTCTGAAGGAGTATCCCTGGGATGAACTGCTAGAATGTATACGGCTCGCTCATGTTCTAGTAGATCAGGGCACAGAATTCTCTGAGGTGCAGCCATTGATTCAGATTTGTGCGGAGTTGGTTTCATCTGGTACCCCCAAATGCAGGGATGAATTTTTGCCGCCATTTAGTGCCGACCAGGTAGCGTCCCTGGTATGGTTATTAGAGGATGATGTGGATTGCTTCTTGGAGCATTATGCTGCATGTTCACCACAGATACTAAGAGATTGTATAAACGCAGTGCAGTCTTTGGTCAGACAGGCTTTGTGTAAGCTCAGCTTTGTTCAACCCATACTGCAGACATGGACAGATTTGTTGCACCCAGCCTCAGTCAGCCTACAAAAACCCAGTCCTGCTTCTAATCTATTTCCTCAAAGCTCTATTCCTGCATTCCCAACAGCTCCTCCTGCCCTGCTATCTACCGCATGTCAGTACCCTGTTCCCACTCGCTGCACCTATCCTGCCTTTAACCCTGTAAAAAAGCCCTCTGTAGCAACTGCTCCCTCCTCTGTTCCATCCTCCAGCTCTTCTCTGTCTCCAGCTGCTCCATTCATTTGCAGACCTGCGTTTACTTGCAGTGCTCCAGTAGTTAAAACCAGAAAAAGCGAAAATTCTTTCCAACCAATACCATCCTGCCAGTATCCAAACCGGTGAGCCTGCCGTCTGAGAACCTGCCTTCCGTGGTTCAGCCTGGTGCCTCGGCACCCGCACTTCAGCCTGATGCATGTACCCAGCCTGATGCCTCTCTTCAGCCTGATGCCTCCACTCAGCCTGATGCCTCCACTCAGCCTGATGCTTCCACCCAGCATGATGAACTGATCCAGCCTGATGATCCTATTAGGCCAGTTGACTTGATGCCCGCTGTTGATCCAGATGATCCGGTACCTGATCCGGTGCCCGCTGTCGTGCCAATTGACTCAGAGCCCACTGTCGTGCCTGGTGACTCGATGCCCGCTGTCCAGCCAGAGGATCCAATGTCTGACCCAGTGCCCGCGGTCATACCAGTTGACTCGGAGCCCACTGCCTTGCCAGATGACGCGGTGCCCGCTGTTGAGCCAAATGACCTGATGCCTGGTGACCCGATGCCCGCTGTCCAGCCAGACGATCCAATGTCTGACCCAGTGCCCGCGGTCATGCCAGTTGACTCGGAGCCCACTGCCTTGCCAGATGACGCGATGCCCGCTGTCGAGCCAAATGACCTGATGCCTGGTGACCCGATGCCCGCTGTCCAGCCAGACGATCCATTGTCTGACCCAGTGCCAGCGGTCATGCCAGTTGACTCGGAGCCCACTGTCGTGCCTGGTGACCCGGTGCCTGTCGCTCCGCCTGGGGGTCCGGCGCCCGCCGCTCCGCCTTGGGGCCCGAGACCTGTCGCTCCGCCTGGGGGCCCGAGACCGGTCGCTTCGCCTGGGGGTCCGGCGCCCGCAGCTCCGCCTGGGGGCCCGAGACCTGTCGCTTCGCCTGGGGGTCCGGCGCCCGCCGCTCCGCCTGGGGGTCCGGCGCCCGCCTCTCCACCTGGGGGCCCCGAGACCTGTCGCTCCGCCTGGGGGTCCGGCGCCCGCCGCTCCGCCTGGGGGCCCGAGACCTGTCGCTCCGCCTGGGGGTCCGGCGCCCGCCGCTCCGCCTGGGGGCCCGAGACCTGTCGCTTCACCTAGGGGTCCGCGCGCCCCGCCGCTCCGCCTGGGGGCCCGAGACCTGTCACTCCACCTGGGGGTCCGGCGCCCGCCGCTCCGCCTGGGGGCCCGATGCCTGTCACCCCCGCCTGGGGGCCCGATGCCTGTCGCCCCTCCTGGGGGCCCGGCGCCCGCCGCTCCGCCTGGGGGCCCGCCGCCCGCCGCTCCGCCTGGGGGCCCAATGCCTGTCGCCTCGCCTGGGGGCCCAATGCCTGTCGCCCCGCCTGGGGGCCCGATGCCTGTCGCCCCACCTGGGGGCCCGATGCCTGTCGCCCCGCCTGGGGGTCCGGTGCCTGCTGCTCCGCCTGGGGGCCCGGTGCCTGCTGCTCCGCCTGGTGGCCCGCTGCCTGCTGCTTTGCCTGGTGATCCGATGTGCCTCTGCCCGGAGTTCAGCCCGATGTGCCTCTGCCCGGAGTCCTGCCCGATGTGCCTCTGCCCGGAGTCCAGCCCGATGTGCCTCTGCCCGGAGTCCAGCCCGATGTGCCGCTGCCCGGAGTCCAGCCCGATGTGCCGCTGCCCGGAGTCCAGCCCGATGTCCAGACCGATGTGCCGCTGCCCGGAGTCCAGCCCGATGTGCCGCTGCCCGGTGTGCCGCTGCCCGATGCGCCTCTGCCCGGAGTTCTGCCCGATGAGCCTCTGCCTGGTGTGCCGCTGCCCGATGGGCCGCTGCCCGGAATCCTGCCCGGTGTGCCGCTGCCCGGAGTCCTGCCCGGTGTGCCAGTCTTTGATATCCCGCCAGTTACCAGACCCGGGCGGTGGAACATTTTGCCCAGCTAGGACTGTTTGGAGCGTCCTGAGGCCGCTCCTTGAGGGGGGGGTACTGTCAGGAATGGACTGGCCAGCAATGGTGGGACTCACCTGCCTTACGGGCTGCAGTACCAGGGCTGGCCAGCGGGTGCTCCCAGCAATCAGAGACTCAACCTTGCAGCCAGCCAAACACCTGAAACTGCTTATACTGATGTATTTAAGGGATGGCCAGACCTGCAGACTCTGCCTTGGTGTGTGTTTCTCCTGGGCCCTGTATCCTGTTCCTGCTCCCTGTTCCTGTTCCTGTCTGATTCGTTGCTGACCCTGCTCTGATCCCTGGCTTTGTCTGACCATTCTCCTGCTCCTGATCCCTGGCTTTGTCTGACCATTCTCCTGCTCCTGATCCCTGGCTTTGTCTGACCATTCTCCTGCTCCTGATCCCTGGCTTTGTCTGACCATTCTCCTGCTCCTGATCCCTGGCTTTGTCTGACCATTCTCCTGCTTAACCCCATACGTTCTGACCTCCTGTTGATAATCCCCGGCCTGCCTGACGACGCTTGCATTGTATGTACTGTTATCTGTGGGTGGTTTGGTTAGGTTCGTTTGCACTGTGTTATGTTTTAGTATTGCACTGCGTTTATGTATTGTTAGTGTTAATAAATTATATTTATAACATATCTGAAGCCTGCGTTTCCCTGCGTCAGTCACATACCTCTGGTCACACCCTGGAGCCCTGACACCCAACTTCTTGAGATTACTCCCATTACTCTAGAGCCAATAATTGCTACTCGCGTATTGATCATGTAGTTCTTCTTACACACTCCTCAGACATCTTGCAGCTAAAATCCTCTCCACACCTTGGTCTGATCACGACCCAATCTTTCTGACATTTCTGTCCTGGACCCATGGTAGGACTGTTCCTCATTGGCACCTTAATGAAGGTATTTTGGGTAATGCTTCATATTGTCAGGATATTTCGTCACATCTACATTTTGAAATCAACAAAGCAGATGATACAAATCCGGCTATTAATTGGGCAGCCCATAAGGCTTCGGTTAGGGGGTTTCTTATTCAACTTTCCTCAAGGCTTAAAAAAGCTTGTAACGACTTAATCCTCACTAAAACTCAAATATTTACTGACCTGGTAACTCGTCACAAACAGAACCCCGATCAAACTTATTGGTTAAACTTGACCAAGCCTGTTTGGAACTTAACCTAAGCAGTTGCGATGGGCTAACCACAAATTTTTCACTTGGATAGGCCAGGTACTTTATTAGCACGTAAATTGTCTCCTAAATACTCACAAATGGCTCTCCCTAAAATTTCATTCATTTTACACTGATCTATACCAATCGCCTCGAGGAGACATTTCTTTATCTTCTGACAACTTTCTGAACTCTGTTGATCTTCCTTCTCTTCAGGAGGCCCACAGGGAGTCAATGGAGCTGCCATTTTCTTGTGAGATTTGGAATACCTTGAAAACTCTTGCCCCTCATAAGTCCCGAGGACCAGATGGCCTTCCTCATAGTTATTATAAGACCTTCCCTGATCTTCTGATTCCACATATGGCCCATTATTTCAATTATTTAGGGGATGGTGGACTTGTGCCTCCCGACGAAAATAAAACATTTATTAGTGTTATCCCTAAATCCCACAAAGACGCTACCTTGGTTTCTAATTAATTAATTGTGACCTCAAGATTCTTACTTAAATCCTGGCTTTATGCCTCCATAAATTTCTGGCTCTCTATATCCATGATGATCAATCCGGCGGATTCATCAGCGGTCGACAAACGTCGGACCAAACTCGACGAACTTTGTCGTTATTGTCAGCTGTCCAATCCAACTGGGATAAATCCTCACCAAGGGAAATTCTACTACTATCATTCTATCTCCATAAAGCATTTGATAGTTTGTCTTGGGACTATTTATTCCGGATCCTGGGAAGGTTGGGGTTTGGCCCTTCTTTTCTGACCCTAATACGGGCTCTCTATTCTAATCCTACAGCTTAGATTTCCATCCGTGGATACAAATCAGCTTCTCTACCTATCAAGCTATGTACTAGACAGGGCTGTCCCCTTTCCCCCTTACTTCTTGCTTTGGCAATGGAACCACTTGCTATAGCTATCCATTCCAACCCCACTATTTCTGGTATCCACTGTGGCTAACGAGACCATAAATGTGCCCTTATTTGCTGATGATGTTCTCATGTATACATCTAACCCTCGAACATCTTTACCTAGTCTCCTCCACCTGTTGCATCGTTTTTCTTCGGTCTCTGGTCTCACTCTTAATCCCTCCAAAACGACTGCTTTATATATTTCTCTACCTGATTCAGAGGTTCAACATTTGCGGGATAACTTTGATTTTCAATGGGCCTCCCGCTCTCTCCATTATTTTGGAATTCACTTCACGAGCTCTATCTCTATTGGTGTACCTCTTGCGCTTATATGGATATCCCTAAAATAAAGCTGCTCTAACCCAACCTGACCCAATTGGTATGTGCAAATCAATATGAAAAAAAATGGTGAAGCGCTAAACAATAAAAATAAAACTCTACAGTATAATTATCCACAAACTGTGCTCTGATACAATCCAGATCCAATTGTGAATAAACACACAAAAAACTGTTGAAAAAAAACAGGAAAACCTGTTTAAATACACACTTAAAGAGTGACTCAAAATAAAAAATAAACCATTATATCCCGCCCTTCTGTCCCAATATTGGGACTATACAAATAGTGTAACAAGTGAATCCCCTTCTGGGGAAAAAAACAATAAAAGTGATCAGTGCCAATAAATAAACAAAGACCTACTCTTAAATCAACCTCATATAAATAACATAAAAAAACACTCAAATAATGTCCAATAGGCAAAAAACATATGGCCGTGATCTTCAAATAATTCATGCAAGTGATGAAGTGAAATAAGTGATCTCCACTCTGGTGAAAAAATACTCAGATAGCCAAAATGGCCCCTCACCTCCAAAACGTGACTACAAATGTCAGTGGACATCTTATTAACCTAAATATTCATATTAAAAACCTTTATTCATACCTAATAAAATGAAAAATAAACAAAAATATTAAATATAAAAATGAACAGTTTATTATATTTAGGTTATAAGATGTCCACCGACATTTGTATGGGTTGTCCCATAGTTTAATGTTTAGTCTTCTTTTATATGATAGCTAATTACCCATTGGTGGTACATAGCATTTAGTAGTTTAGGGAGGGGAGATTAGATTATTCTTAACACTATCATTTATGTATGAGTATGGGACACTTAGATACTAGTGGGCTTCAGTTTTATGGCTGCTGGGGGTTAGCCTTTGGTTCCTTATGTGTCCACTGATAATATTTAGGTTTTTCCCATAATGTTATATTTAGATCGTGTCATTATTGAGATTGACATTAATATATTCCCTGTATGTGGCTGCAGAGGATGCCACTTTAAAAGACTATAATCGGGCAGAGGGGATTGGATGTTATTCCTCATCCATGGGTGTCTAAGTATGGGGATATAGTTAGCAGCGGGCTCCGGTAAAATGGCTGCTGGAGATCCGCCTCCGGGTTTTGAGTGATAGCTGACCTCCTATAAATTTAACTGCTCGTCACTAGGGGCGTATACCCTGATGAAGTCATGTGACGTGACGCAACGCGTTGGTACACAACTTCCAGTGACGTGGTTACGCACTTCCGGGTGTGCGGGCCATTCTGGTACACCCAACAAACCCATGCAGTACACCCTTATGCATGAGGTTTAGAAGCTTTGTATCTTTGGACAAAATGTGAGTGGGCAATTTGTTTTTATGTAATTTTACTGAGTAATAAAACGTTATTGCACCATGGAGGATCTTTTTTCTATTTTACGAATATGATCCTGAGTGGGGAGTGAGCTGTATTGCGGTACCTGTGCCAGGAGGAACTTGAGAGGAGCAAGTGGTGGTAGTGAAGGGAGCTTATGTGGCGTTTCTCTCCTGTGACAAGATAACATCCATAAGGATCGTGGGGTGATCCTAAAAAGCGAGCTGGCCCTTGTGGTCACGTTTTGGAGGTGAGGGGCCATTTTGGCTATTTGAGAATTTTTTCACCAGAGATCACTTATTTCACTTCATCACCTGCATGAATTATTTGAAGATCACGGCCATATGTTTTTTGTCTATTGGACATTATTTATGAGTGTTTTTTGATATTATTTATATGAGGTTGATTTAAGAGGTCTTTTGTTATTTATTGGCACTGATCACTATTATTGTTTTTTTCCCCAGAAGGGGATTCACTTGTTACACTATTTGTATAGTCCCAATATTGGGACAGGAGGGTGGGATATACATGGCTAATTTTTTATTTTGAGTCACGCTTTAAGTGTGTATTTAAACAGGTTTTCCTGTTTTTTTGTCACCAGTTTTTCACGTGTTTATTCACAATTGGATCCGGATTGGATCAGAGCACAGTTTGTGGATAATTATATTATACTGTAGAGTTTTTTCATTTATTTTATTGTTTAGTGCTTCACCATTTTTTTATACTGACGAGCTCTATCTCGTCACTTTATAAGACTAATTATCCCTGCTCTTCAAACGACTTAAAGCTGACTTACAGTGGGGCAAAAAAGTATTTAGTCAGCCACCAATTGTGCAAGTTCTCCCACTTAAAAAGATGAGAGAGGCCTGTAATTGGCATCATAGGTAGACCTCAACTATGAGAGACAAAATGAGAAAAAAAATCTAGACAATCACATTGGCTGATTTGGAAAGAATTTATTTGCAAATTATGGTGGAAAATAGGTATTTGGTCACCTACAAACAAGCAAGATTTCTGGCTCTCACAGATCTGTACCTTCTTCTTTAACTAGTTGCCGACCGCAGATAGCCGAATGACGGCTGCACTGCGGCCGGCCAGTTCTGGGTGGACGTCATATGACGCCCCCCCAGAACGCGCGCTCTCCTGCGCGCCCCAGGGGGCGCGCACCCGGCGATCTCCGTGATCGCTGTGTCCTACGGACACAGCTGATCATGTGATGTGGTAAAAGGCCAATCACAGCGGCCTTTTACCACGTGATCAGCGGTGTCCAATGACACGCTGATCACAGGGAAATGCAAGTGCCGGTTCTCGGCTGCACTTTCCTCACGCTGTCAGATCGTGAGGAAAGTACTGCCGAGAACCGGCAGTTGTCAGAGCGAGGATAGGCACCGATCATCAGGGCACTGATGATCAGTGCCCTGATGATCGGTGCCCAGCAGTGCCACCCACAAGTTCCGCCCACCTGTGCCCAGCAGTGTGCCCACTAGCTCCGCCCACCTGTGCCCAGCAGATCACCCACCTGTGCCCAGCAGTGCACCCACCTGTGCCACTCTGCAGTGTCACACACCTGTGCCCAGAAGTGCCACCTACCTGTGCCCAGCAGTGCCACGCACCTGTGCCCACCCACCTGTGCCCACCCACGAGTGCTGCCCACCAGTGTCACCCACCAGTGCAGCCCACCAGTGCTGCCAGTCAGTGCCACCAGTCAGTGCCCAGCGGTTGTGCCAGTCAGTGCCCAGCAGTGATGCCAGTCAGTGCCAGTCAGTACCCATCATCAGTGTCACCTATCAGTGCTGCATATTAGTGCCGCCTATCCGTGACACCTCATTAGTGCTGCCTATCAGTGCTGCCTATCCGTGCCACCTCATTAGTACTGCCTATCAGTGCCCTTTAGTGCTGCCTATCAGTGCCCATCAGTGTTGCCTATCAGTGCTGCCTCATCAACGCACATCAGTGAAGGAGAAAAATTACCTGTTTGAAAAATTTTATAATAGAAACAAAGAAACTTTTTTTTTTTTTTTTTTTAAATTTTTTTGCACTTTATTTATAGCGCAAAAAGTAAAGCGCCCAGTGGCGATTAAATACCACCAAAAGAAAGCTCTATTTGTGAGAAAAAAATGATCAAAATTTCATATGGGTACAATGTTGCATGACCGCGCAATTGTCAATCAAAGTGCGGCAGCGCTGAAAGCTGAAAATTGGCCTGGTAAATAAGGGGGTATAAGTGCCTGGTAGGCAAGTGGTTAAGAGGCTCCTCTGTCCTGCACTCATTACCTGTATCAATGGCACCTGTTTGAACTTGTTATCAGTATAAAAGACACCTGTCCACAACCTCAAACAGTCACACTCCAAACTCCACTATGGTGAAGACCAAAGAGCTGTCAAAGGACACCAGAAACAAAATTGTAGACCTGCACCAGGCTGGGAAGACTAAATCTGCAATAGGCAAGCAGCTTGGTGTGAACAAATCAACTGTGGGAGCAATAATTAGAAAATGGAAGACATACAAGACCACTGATAATCTCCCTCGATCTGGGGCTCCACGCAAGATCTCACCCTGTGGAGTCAAAATGATCACAAGAACGGTGCGCAAAAATCCCAGGTCACACGGGGGGACCTAGTGAATGACCTGCAGAGAGCTGGGACCAACGTAACAAAGGCTACCATCAGTAACACACTACGCCGCCAGGGACTCAGATCCTGCAGTGCCAGACGTGTCCCCCTGCTTAAGCCAGTACATGTCCGGGCCCGTCTGAAGTTTGCTAGAGAGCATTTGGATGATCCAGAAGAGGACTGGGAGAATGTCATATGGTCAGATAAAACCAAAATAGAACTGTTTGGTAGAAACACAACTCGTCGTATTTGGAGGAGAGAAAATGCTGAGTTGCATCCAAAGAACACCATACCTACTGTCAGGAATGGACTGGCCAGCAATAGTGGGACTCACCTGCCTTGTGAGCTGCAGTACCAGGGCTGGCCAGCGGGTGCTCCCAGCAATCAGAGACTCAACCTTGCAGCCAGTCAAACACCTGGAACTAATTATACTGGTGTATTTAAGGGACATTCAGACCTGCAGACTCTGCCTTGGTGTTGTGTTTTTCCTGGGCCCTGTATCTTGTTCCTGCATCCTGCTCCTGTTCCTGTCTTGTTGCTGACCCGGCTTGATTCTGACCTCTGCTGACTTCTCCTGTTCTGATCCCTGGCTTGTAACCCCGACCATTCTCTGCCTGACCCCCTGTACCTACCTGCCTGTTAGTTGCTGTACCCTGCTCGTGACCTGACTATTCTCCGCTTGCTTCCCCTGTACCTACCTGCCCGATTGATATTGACCCGGCCTGCCTGACGACGCTTGCACTGTATGTACTGTTATCTGTGGGTGGTTTGGTTTGGTTCGGTTCGTTTGCACTGTGTTATGTCTTAGTATTGCACTGCGTTTATGTTTGTATTGTTAGTGTTAATAAATTGTTTATAACTTATCTGAAGTCTGCGTTTCCCTGCATCAGTCACACACCTCTGGTCATACCCGGGAGCCCTGACACCTACTGTGAAGCATGGGGGGGTGGCAACATCATGCTTTGGGGCTGTTTCTCCGCAAAGGGACCAGGACGGCTGATCCATGTACAAGACAGAATGAATGGGGCCATGTATCGTTAGATTTTGAGTGCAAACCTCCTTCCATCAGCAAGGGCATTGTAGATGAAACGTGGCTGGGTCTTCCAACATGACAATGATCCCAAACATACCGCCCAAGCAAGGAGTGGCTTAGTAAGAAGCATTTCAAGGTCCTGGAGTGGCCTAGTCAGTCTCCAGATCTCAACCCCAAAGAAAACCTTTGGAGGGAGTTGAAAGTCCATGTTGCCCAGTGACAGCCCCAAAACATCACTGCTCTAGAGGAGATCTGCATGGAGGAATGGGCCAACATACCAGCAACAGTGTGTGCCAACCTTGTGAAGACATACAGGAAACGTTTGACCTCTGTCATTGCCAACAAAGAATATATAACAAAGTATTGAGATGAACTTTTGATATTGACCAAATACTTATTTTCCACCATAATTTGCAAATAAATTCTTTCCAAATCAGCCAATGTGATTGTCTGGATTTTTTTTCTCATTTTGTCTCTCATAGTTGAGGTCTACCTATGATGCCAATTACAGGCCTCTCTCATCTTTTTAAGTGGGAGAACTTGCACAATTGGTGGCTGACTAAATACTTTTTTGCCCCACTGTACATGACTGGTAGGACCTTCCTCTAGCCTGGTTTGGTAGAATTCATTCTATCAAGATGACCTTTTTACTGAGACTCTTATACTACTTTAGGACTTTACCAATCATGGTACCCAAACGGGAACTTCTACTTTTACAAACAGCAGTCTCTAGATTTATATGAAAAGGAAAACGTCCTCGGGTTAACAAGTCAACTATAATCTCCCTAAAAAAGCATGGCGGTCTGGGACTCCCTAATCTCCAGATTTACTTTCAGACGGCTCAGATGGCACAGCTCTACTACCGCTAGGGGCTATGTTCCCCAATGGGTTCGTATTGAGGCCTTAACTTGTCATCCTCATGCTATTAGCGCTCTCATGTGGCTTCCTAATTGGTTGCGTCCTCCTATCCTTTGTCCTACATTATACTATTCCTTAACAGTCTGGGATAGATGACGGGCACGTAAACCTCTCTGCTCTCCACATATCCCATGAGCTCCTGTCTTTTGTAACCCCGAGTTTATTTCTGGCCTATCGCCATCTGTATTCCATTGGTGGGTCTTTTGCGTATTTGGGATTACCTGGATGGTCTTCGTCTTCGTTCTCTCCAATGCTTTTTGACAATTTTTCAGATGCCCTCCTGTGAACGGTTCCGTTATCATCAGCTTATGTCCTTTATTACCAGTAAACTCAAGCTACTCACAGAACCTTGCACACTCACCCCTCTAGATATCTCCTGTGGGGCTATTTGGAGGATGAAGGGTCGATTATCTGCTATCTATGCCTCCCTTGTTGATCCACTCACCAAGATATCCTACAGTCAGGTCCAAAAATATTGGGACATCGACACAATTCTAACATTGGCTCTGTACACCACCACAATGGATTTGAAATGAAACGAATAAGATGTGCTTTAACTGCAGACTGTCAGCTTTAATTTGAGGGTATTTACATCCAAATCAGGTGAACGGTGTAGGAATTACAACAGTTTGCATATGTGCTTCCCACTTGTTAAGGGACCAAAAGTAATGGGACAGAATATTAATCCTAAATCAAACTTTCACTTTTTAATACTTGGTTGCAAATCCTTTGCAGTCAATTACAGCTTGAAGTCTGGAACGCATAGACATCACCAGACGCTGGGTTTCATCCCTGCAGTTAAAGCACATCTTGTTCGTTTCATTTCAAATCCATTGTGGTGGTGTATAGAGCCAAAAATGTTAGAATTGTGTCGATGTCCCAATATTTATGGGCCTGACTGTATATGATTCAATGGGAAAGGGATTTGAACAGCTCTTTAGATTTAGACACTTGGTGGACTACGGCTAATACCCTATCTAAAATTTCTATCAATACTACTCTTATCGAATCTAATTAGAAAACATTTCTTAGTTGGTATCTAGTTCCAACACGTCTTGCCAAAATGTACCCATCCGTGTCACCAAATTGCTTTAGACCAGGGGGTCCTCAAACTACGGCCCGCGGGCCACATGCAGCCCGCCGAGCACATTCATCCTGCCCGCCGGCAGGGGACACTAAGTACAGGGGCGGGTAGGGGGCTGCTCTTACCTGGCTCCGGTCCCAGTCCCACGACGATCCAGTCCAGGATGCGCAGATCCTTCACTCCGACCGCGCTCCCTCACTCCATGTCCGCGCTGCCGCTCGGCTCCGCCTCCTCACCGGCGATCGGGCGCCAGTACTGTAGCTCAGGAAAGGCACACAGGCGGCCAATCACCGGCGAGGAGGCGGAGCCGAGCGGTCCCCCGCGAAAATCAAGGGAGGGAGAAGCCGAAGTGAAGGAAGGAGGACAGCTGACCACCTGGTAAGTGTGCTGTGCAGATGGTACTGCTGCAACCAGGTATGCTGGCTGCAACAGCACCATGCTGGAACAGGGGTCGGCTAGTTAGGTGTCATTGCTGTCAGTGGGAGGAATAGTGCCCCATCATTGGTGTCACTGATAATAATGATGGGGCATTATTCCTCCCACTGACACCAACGATGGGGCACTATTCCTCTCCCCACTGACACCAACGATGGGGCACTATTCCTCCCCCCACTGACACCAACGATGGGGCACTATTCCTCTCCCCACTGACATCAACGATGGGGCACTATTCCTCCCACTGGCACCAATGATGGGACACTATTCCTCCCACTGACACCAATGATGGGACACTATTCCTCCCAATGACACTAATGATGGGGCACGATTCTTCCCACTGACACCAATGATGAGGCGCTATTCCTCCCACTGACACCAATGATGGGGCACGATTCTTCCCACTGACACCAACGATGGGGCACTATTCCTCCCCCCACTGACACCAACGATGGGGCACTATTCCTCCCCCCACTGACACCAACGATGGGGCACTATTCCTCCCCCCACTGACACCAACGATGGGGCACTATTCCTCCTCCCA